AACTATTCCAATAATGTTACTTATACTGCAATTCACAAAATTTAAATATTTTGTGCTAATTCTGACTGACCCATTATCAATTATTAAGTTTGACATTTTCACACTTGGCATTCCTTCCATAATGAATAGTTTCGTATTTCTAATTATTAAATATTCAAGTTCCAAATTAATATTCTTTGAAAATTGAATAAATTCATCACACTCAATTACTGATAGAGAATCTGTTTCGAATGATTTCATTCTAAATGTTTGAAAACTATTAAATATTTGATAATCCTGCAAATTATATGAACATCGCTTCATTTCTCCCATCACCATCACATCCAATATTCGAAACTCATCTATTTTCACATTTTCCACAATAAAATTCACAATTTGCATAAAATCACCACATGGATCATCGGGTGAGAAACAGGCTTTGGAAGTTGTATTCGAAATTCCATCATCATTCAAGTAGAAAAACAATTCATTATCATCTATTAGATTGTGTGATGAAATTAAATTCGAATTTTCGGAAGAACACAAGCAAACACCAATCATCGATGATGATAGCATCAAAAAGGCGAGAAGCAGGGTTATATGTTGTGGTGATGACATTTTTTTTTATTTGTGCGAAGTAAAAAAAATGTCTAAACATCATCCTCCGTGGATTACAAAGAACATAACAAAAGCAGGCCCCAGCTCTGCCAGAAATCTAAAGTCCACTAAAAGTCACACTAAGGAATTAATTTCCGTACCTAAAAATAATTTAAATTTTAATTTTAAAATGTCTTATGCTGATGTTGTTAAACAAATTCCGAGATCGGAATCAAAATTGAAATCGGAATCAAAACAAATCGTGATTGCCAACCGAACTATTAATATCAAGTCGGTTAATTTAAATTCAAGACAAAAAAAATTCAGTAGAAATATTAAGATGTCAGATAATAAGCAAATCGACTACGAAACTTGTATTTCAGTATTTGTCCAACAACCAAATGAAGCATTTGAAGATTTAATTGTTAAGGAGGTTGGTCACTTATGTAATAGAATTTATGTTCCAGAATTGAAACCAAAACTTGTTCAATTAATTATAGATAGCAAAGAAAATTATCAAGAAGCAATAAGAATTCTCAATAATATGGTTACAAAAACTAATACGAAATTCCTTCCTTCCCCTATGAACTTTACTCCAACTAATCATACCGTCAAATATCATTCAGAAAAATTAGATTTTATTAATCACCAAATTTCTAATATTATTGATGCAGTATGGCATAGTAAGATTAATATCTCACAAATGAATCTCAGTTTTGATAGAACTACTCAAATCTACAAGTTAAGAGTTGCTCTTATTAACTCAAATGGAAAAGATGAGCTATTGAAAAATGGTTTTCAAGAATATAAGTCAATGGATCAAATTCTTAAAGAATGTCAATTTGAAGCCACCTGCAATTTCCCTACATCATTCCAAGAAAAGGATATCATTGAGGCAGTTAAAGAAATTAGTAAATTGGCTGACGTTCAATTTCGTCGCAGTAACCTTACTATTACCAAGTTGAAAGCAACCTATCTCCATAATAGAGAATATTATGCAGTTAATTACAAACTTCAAAACGAAGAGGAATTGAAAGCATTTATATCAAAGGCGATTAGATGTAAGGGATCTAAAGATAATTCCAAGAAAATCTTTAAAAGATTTAAATCTACTGCTGAATACTTGAAGAAGAAATTACAATCAAATAATACTGATAACCATGAAAATTTAACCAGTAGTTCTATCATTATTGATATTAATAAGAGACTTACTAGAATGGAAGAGAAAATTGAAACTCAAGTTGCAAAGACTTCTAATCATGAACTAAAATTACAAAATTTTGATGAAAGAATGAACAAGTTCTTAGAAAGTTTGGAACAATTAAGATTTTTAACAATGAATTTCAAGAATATTGGTAATGCAAAGGAAGGTATGAACGACGAAGGCTATGAGGATTACAATCCTCATGTAAATCACTCTCGTTATGATTGATTTAAAATCTACTATCCGTGTGGGATGCTATAATGTAAATGGTCTAATTAGGACAGGAAATTCTAAAGAAAAACTCATACAACCAATTAATGCAATGTGTAGATCTAATGGTATTCACATAATGTGTATAACAGAAACACATATCAATAATTATGAATCTCAACAGAAATGTTATAATGAGTGTAATGGACATATTCTATTCAATTCCTTAATGAATACAAGAAAAGCTTGCAAGGGAACAGCAATTCTTCATTTCTTAAATAACAAGAGAAAGAGATTTATTTCTAATCATAATATCATCAATGGTAAATTACAATGGTTTCGTTTCAAATCTAGAAACAAGATATTTAATATCATTGCGGGCTATTTATCAGGGAAAAAGGAAGAAGAAGATGATGATCAATTAGCTATGTCTCATATTATTGAAATTATGACTAAATTTAATGATGAATATTTTATTATAGCTGGTGATTTGAATATTGATAGTAATAACCCTATTTCCAAAAGAGATAAAGAATGGATGAATCTTCTAAAACAACTCAATATGTATGAAGACAAACAGCTTAGTCAAATATCATATAGAAGAAAACAGAAAGACAAGATCATTGAAACACACCCAGACCATATATTTGTATCAAATAATTTGAAAATAATTGGAGGGAAAAGTCTACCATCTATAACTCACAATGATCATATACCTTTTTATATAGACATTCAATATGATTGCGATCCGACTTGGAGGGCATCTATTTCAAGGAAACATATAGAAACGTTATGTAGTACAATTAATCAAGAAACCTATTTATCATTTGATGAACTAGAACGGAATATTAAGAATAATTTTTTAAAGTATTCATATAGGAATGATAAGCTTAATGTTAAATTCCTTTCGTCTAGAAAGCGAAAAGATATTAGAAGAATAGAATCAAAAATCAGAGAAATAATGGACAAAAAAGATCCAAAACAAGAACAGGAATTAATTACACTCCAAACAGAACTGAAAACTGTTTATAGAGAGGCTGCAAAAGAAATAAGAACAAATCTATTGGATCAATTTAATAGCCATAATTCTTCAGCAATGTACAGATTTGATAGACACCTTAAAGAAAAGACAATTAATTGGAATGAAATCTCATTTGATGAATCGACAGTTGTCAACTTCTTTCAGGATAAATTTACATCAAAAGTTGAAGATATTAATTTCATTCCAAGTAGGTCAACAATTAAGTATGGACCAAAAAGAATCAAATTTAAATTGGAAACTATCAAAAAAGCCCTTTTAAGAATGAGTTCTAATACTCCAGGAACAGATAATATTCCATTGTCTATAATAAGAGGTTTAAAAGATGAACATCTTCAACTCATTTGTGACAAATTTAATCAGTGCTTGGATAATGGTAATATTCCTTTGGAATGGAAAAATGGTTGGGTAAAATTAATTCCTAAACGAGACATTATTTCTCTCAAAGATATTCGTCCGATTACTATCCTTCCAATTATGTATAGATTAATGTTTAATATTATTGCTTTTAAATTAAGGAAATGGGCTTCAGAGAATATAAATATACGTCAACAAGCATTTATACCAAAGAGGAATACCCTTAATCATGCAATATTGGTATCTACGTTGGCAGCAATGAATCCGAAATCCTTTCTATTGGTGAATTTAGATATCGAAGGAGCTTATGACTCTGTTGAAGTTTCTGTTATTGAATTAGCTCTAAAACATTGCAAATTTCCAATTAATTTAATTCAATTTATTATTAATTCTTACAAAGAACACACTCTACAACTTGAAATCAATAACCACTTGTCCGAACCAATTACAAAATCCAGGGGAATCCCACAAGGTTGTCCATTATCACCCCTGATTTATGATTGTATAACACAATTAATTATTGACAAAAGTATAGATGTTTGGAAATTACCAAAAGATCCTTGTAATCTTAATGCAAACGAAATAGGTATCCTTGGTTTTGCAGATGATATGTATCTTATTGCTGACACATCTGATATTAATACCGATTATAACGAAAGATTAAATGAATTAGAT